ATTATTAAGAGGTTAAAGGATATAGGTAAAATATAGTGGTAAGGTAAAGGGAATTATTTAGTGTTTTTCGTAGTATTTAATAAATTTAATTATATAATATAATTTATAATTATTTAGAATTAAAAGGTGATAATTACTAATAGGCTTTATAAATTACTAAAAGTATTATATTTAAGCGAATATAATCTCGTTATTTATATAGCTAAAAGGTAAGACTATAAGCTTTATATTTACCTTAAGCTTCTTTATTTAATACTATAATACTATATATTTTTACCCTTAAAGAATAATAAATGTAAAAATAACCCTACTATTAATAGAGATAGCTTTTAAAGCTATTAATACCTTTTTATTTTCTAGTATTAAAAATAAATGCTTTATTTTTCGCTTTATAATAATAAGGTAATCTTAGCTAATTCTAATATAAAAGCTAGTCTCTAATATAACAGCTAGTCTTATTTATATTTTAAATATTTTTAGTAGGAATTTCGTATTCTTTTATAATAGCTTTTAAAGTGTTAAAGTAAATAAGGGTTCTTTTAATATCTTTTAAAGCTTTACGCTTTAAATTAAACTTCTTTTATAAGTATTTATTATATTAATACTATTAAATAAAGCTAAATTAGCTCTTTCAAATGCCCCACTTTTTATTACTATAAGCTATTATCTTAAAAAGTTATAAGCAATTGAAAATTCGCCCCACTTTACTTACTTTTTATTTTAAGATATAACTTTAAAGCTTAATATCTCGCTTAATATCCACATTTTAAGGTTAATTTTTAAAGATTTAAAATCACGTGATTTTTAGCTATATTTTAATATATAATATGCTTATATAAGCATTTATTTATAATATTAGATATTTTTTAGCCTTATAATACATTTATAGGTATTCTTATCTTGTAATGTATTGTAATATATTACAATATAATACAATATAATACAGTATAGTAAAAACTACAAAAAATACAATACATTTAGAGGTCTAATAATAATAATAACCTCTCTTTTAAAATGTAATTTATAGCGTTTATAATAAATTCAGCTTAAATAGTAAAATTTACCCTATTAAGGCGATTAATATAATTATATAAAGTAACTTTTTCTTCCCTTAAAAGCTTTATATTTACTATTAAATAGCCTTTCCTAGTAAAAACGCTTTATTACTATCGTTAAAGCCTATTATAAGGTACATTAAAATTTTAAGCTATAACGCGTAGTTTTACACCTAGATTTTCGTTAATAAATTAAAGGGCCTTAATTACACGTATTTCCACTTTACTTTTTAACTTTTAAACGCTAGTTATAAGCATTTTTACGGTTAAACGCGTTTAAGTTTAAAATCAGGCCGCGTTAGTAATTAGGCCACGTTAGTAATAAGCACCACCTTTAGGTGGTGAGTGAAACGAGGCCCCTAAAATAGTGGGGCGTGGCACGAGTATTGACGTCACTGCCTGCGGAAATTTTGCAATTGGCTTGCCTGTTCACGCGAGTAGTCATTCTGCTGTCTATCAATGGAGCAAGTGTGAGGAGAATCCCGCGGCCAGCACGGGGAAGCTTCGACCTCTCAATGAAGGCATTGAAAAGGGGCTTGCTGAACCTGCCAAAGACTTCGGACCAGGATAAGTCGATGGAGCCAAGAGCCTGCGCTGCATCTTTTTCACACAACCGTCATGCTTCGAGGAAACAACTTTTTTTGCTAAACCTCTGGGCCGCTCCACTGTCACTGTAATGGGGACCTTTACCAAGCAGCTCGGTATTTTTCAATGGCAGAAGTAAATGGACGCCAGTATGTCGGGCGACAATCAAAATACGGAGGCTCAGGCCGATGATGGCATTAGACGGCGTATCAAAGTCCAAGACGAATTCCCCGGAAACTCGGAAAATGATCCTTCAATACAAGTCTCTTTGAGTAGGCCACATATTACAAAACATTCGAGGCCGCGCCTGGAAAGTCGTCGTAGCTCCGCCATGAGTATTGCGCAGATCGATCAGGTGCTCTCAGACGATGACATGGATGAAGACACTTGTGGAGTCTCCGAGGTCCGCGAGGGACTGTTTGAGGCTACATTTCTTAAGCCACTACATCCTAATGTAACGGATCTCTTGGAGCGTTCAAAGACTACGTTGCCGGCACAATTTGACAAGTCAAACCCATTAGCGCCAAAGTACTTCATCTCGCGACAGTGGCATCAATTTAATTCTCTTTTTCGTCGGATAGCAACTACGAGAGAAGGGATTCGACTCTTCAAGACGTTTACAGCCTTCTTCATTGCATATTGTCTTTGTCTGGCGCCCAGCGTAAGAGATTGGCTCGGCCCTTACAATTACATGATGGTTATATCCGTCATTCTCAACCACCCAGCTCGCACCCTAGGAGGCCAAATCGAGGGCACGGTTCTTACTATTGTGGGAACAGCTATAGGCATAGGCTGGGGTATACTAGGTCTCCTCTTGTCAACTTCTACTGTTGCCGCCAGCGCTGGCTACGGCGGCATCTTGGCCATGTTTCTTGCGCTGTTCATGCTTGCCTTGGCTTGTATTCGTGCCTTCTTTATCAGGTTCTATCAAGCAGTTCTCTGTGCTGGAATAGCAATCATGTTCGCGACGTTGGCGAACACAAACAGCCAAAACGTCATCTGGGATAATTTACGCAGTTACGCTGTTTCCTGGCTTTTTGGACAAGTCATTGCATTGGTTATTAATGTTCTAATATTTCCAGACGCAGGTTCCAGAGCTCTGGCCACGGCGTTACATCAAGCGTTTGACACAATGCAGGTTTGTGCAAATTCTTCCTATGGAAAGGCTATAATTTGGCTGATTATGCATCAGGAAGCCCTCGATCTCTCGGACCAACCGTGTGGCATGAGACCGAGGCGGCGATTAGCCGATGCCTTTGTGAATCTCTCGGAGGCGTATAGAGATATGAAGATCAATATTACGGTCTCAAGATTCAGACCAGACGATGTTGAACAATTGCGCAACAAAATGCAAGCTGTGATACGAGCACTACTGTCGCTTCAAACTGAACCTGAGCTTCTGCACGAGTCACACTCAGATCAGGGCTGTGTGGTCATCGTGGATCGGCCGGATTCTGACAATGTCGACGAACAGTCTTCCCATTCAAGCCCAAATATTAATTTTGCTGTCCAAACGGCGTCGGATGACATGATGCGCAATGTCGTTGAACCTCTCCGAGCTCCAACAAAAGACCTCCTTTATAGCTTGAAGGAAGGTCTACGATGTTGTGACGCCGTGCTAATGGATCTGTCTGGGTACAGAAAGCACCTGGGCCCATCAGAAGTAGTTTCTTCGGACCTTGCACCAGTTCAAATACGAACAAAGATTGTAGTCGCTGCTTTTGACACTGTAGAATCAACCATTCTGCACTCAAATGATACGCCCGTATCTTCAATTCATGATGCTAACGTGGTACATCTCTTGGTTTTTGCAAGGCGTGCCCGGGAAACCATTGCGACAGTCGAGGCTCTTATGGACCAAGTCGCCTCAATGCAACGGGTACCAGACTGGCCTCGCGCGTATTTGCCGTCTTATCCTATTTGGAAAGCAATTCATCGAACCAACGCTCAGGTACGTCATGATCGAGGCGGTGTCACTGCGGGGTATTATCAGAAGACATTTGTAGAAATCGCTAGGCTGCTTGAGAAGATCAAGTCCCTGGACTACAAGGCGATATCGCGGGTTCAACATGGGCAGGCTCAAGAAGGACCACAAGCTGAATTTGACCGCTCCATGACGAACTCCGATGCGGTTATTGCCCAAGTTTCTAAAAAGAGAAAGTCGCGATATAAGATCTGGACAGTGCTGTACCGGCTTCAAGGTTTTGAAAGTAGATATGCTTTCAAAGTCTGCCTCGTCACATCCCTCTTGTCAGTACCATCATACCTTCCTCAAAGTAATGAATGGTGGGATTACTACCAGGTGTGGTGGGTAGTTGTAGTGGGCTGGGCAGTCATGCATCCGCAAATCGGCGGAAATATACAAGATCTAGCAACTAGGTCCGGTGTAGCTATTCTAGGAGCAACTTGGAGTGGGATAGGATACGCCGCTGGGGGTGGAAGCCCGTACGTTATGGGCGTCTTTTCGGCTTTGTACATGGCGCCCATGCTCTATCGATATACTATAAGTTCTCATCCAGTAAGTGTCCTTTTTTTTTTCCCGAGGGAGAAACTGCTGCGTATTGGTCTCTGACAAGCAATATTTAGCGTTCAGGGCTTGTAGGCTGTCTCTCTTTTACCGTAACGTCTCTTGGGTTACAAACACACGGTGGAGGTTCATCTCCCACGACATTTGCCGTATTTAATGGTCTCGCCTTTTTCATTGGAACTGCTGTGCCAATAATAGTCAACTGGGTCCTGTGGCCGTTTGTGGCGCGCCATGAATTAAGACACGCACTCTCATCGATGCTCTTCTTCATGAGCATTCTATACAGAAGTTAGTAAAGCCTCCAACCATGGCTAACGACCACGCTAACTCTGATAGACGTGGTTGGCAGCTACGTATATTTCAGTGACGGCAAAGAACCGAAGCCGGAAGATATAAAGAGGTCAGAGATACTCGAGGGGAAATTGCGAGAGGGTTTCGTCAGAATTCGCCAGCTTCTAGTACGTATGCTATCCTATGCCGACACAGCGCCCTCTGACATAAGGTCATGCAGGTTCTCACCCGCCACGAAATTCGACTGCGCGCGCCATTCGACCCTCTTCCATATTCCGGACTGGCAGACGCATGCGAAAGATTCTTTGATCACCTAATCACCGTTCGCCGGTCCGCCCTGTTCTACAACCCACGCTATATCAGAGACTACCCCCTGGCCGCCGAACAACTCCTCAGTTACCGTCGCGATGCTGTAGCCGCCATCTTGGGCAATCTATACATTTTAGCTGGCGCTCTTCGATCTAAACGAAAAATGCCCGTATGTCAAAGTGACCAGAAGTTGCTAGTATAGGATATTGCAAAATTGACTGGTGCCACAGCTCTATATGCCAAGCGCTGCAGCAGCCCGAAAAAAGCTATTAGTCAAAACGGCCGAGGTCGAAGAAGACATGTCTAAAAAGGCACCGCCAAGCGATATAAAAAAACACAAGGAATGGAGCGATGTCTACAGTTTTTCATACAGCGAGAGCTTGACCGGCTGTGTAGTTCAACTTGAGGAGCTAGAGAAGTATACGAAACTTATAGTTGGGGAGCAGGGGTGAGTCTGTTTTGAGCATTCTTTTCTTCAGGATCTCTAGGCTAATTAATTTACACCAGATTCGACGACGAATTTCAAGACGAAGACGAAGATGACGATAATCGTGTGCAAAATGATCATTGATAGCCAAGTTTTATTTAGTATTCAATTGATACCCCATACATATACGCCAATCTAGCATGTTTCCGTATCCATATGTTTGAATCAAAAGATGTCTCTGCTCCTAAACACCCATGTATGCGCCATTCGTCATTTCATTCAGGATGTCCCTTGTAACCAGTTTACCTTTCAAAAGCGCCCGTTCCCCAATCCTCGCCTTCTTTGGCGATGGACGACGATTTTCCTTGCCTTCGAGGCTGAATACTGCCTTCTTCACTGTCTTCTTAGGAGACTTTGACTTTGGTGTCGGGCCAACAGTCATGGATGTGCTTAATTCTTCAAAATGATGGCTCTCCAGGGCATCTGCTGGCAGGTTATATACCCAATCCCGCCCTTCCATCAAAGAGATAAACTTGCTTAGCATGTTCTCTTTTCCACTGTGTTTCAAAGTATTCATGCTTCCTACAACCAGAAGCTTGGTCTTGGCTCGCGTAAACGCGACGTTAATTCTCCTCCAATCTTTTAGCAGGTCTCCAATGTTGCATGCTTCGTTGCTCCGTACAAGACTGAGGACGACAACCTCCTTGTCTCGTCCTTGGAATCGATCAGTGGTGTGCATCTCAACTCCTGCGTAGCCCTTCAGACGGTCTTTCAAAAGGAACAGCTGGGCTCGGTAGTGAGTCATAACACCTACTTCGGATGCAGGTACTCCAACTGCGAGAAGGCTTTCCACCAACTGCGATACCAGTCGCGTTTCTGCAGAGTTCACGATTCGCTTCCCTTGAGCCTCCTCTCTAGCCAGAGGTCTTATTGTATCAGTGTTGACAAACCGAACTCGCGCCTCGCTTTCCAGGAGATCGTATAGCCAACAGCGAGACGGCCCAGGGCCAGTACAGAACGATCTTGGTGTTCCTGGATGTGCCAACGAGGATGCGTTGAAATGAACCTGACCAAGAGCATTCATATTTGGAATATGAAGTCTCTTTCTTCGTAGCGATTCTGTCCCACATCGCAGCTTCCCCTCGTAAATTAGGGTATTGCTAAGCGTCATAATATCCTCGCACATTCGATATTGGTGCTCAAGGTTGACAACCGCTTCCGGGTGAGCATCTGAAAGTAGTTTAAACAAGCTTACGTCGAGACCACCTTCACGTGCGTCTTCGTTTCGCACAACCGGAGGTAGCTGATTGTGGTCACCCACGAGAACGAATGAGCGTGCCATTCGAATAGGTCCGGCACAGATGGGGAGAGTAATCTGTGAGGCTTCATCTACAATGCAGTAGTCGAAGGAGCGCTCTTGAAAAACCGGATGATTGATGCCTAAACAAGTAGTAGCAACGATGGGCGTGCCATGCCAAGCTTCTTTAATCTCGTCAAAGGTTTTCCTGGGCTGGCCAGCAAGATGAGCAAAATCTTGGACCTCAGGGTGAACTTTTGCTGGTGCCCCAAGACGCAACACCGGAATCTTGTCGGTCTTAAGCTTCAACAGAATGTTGTCCACCGCCGTGTGGGTATGAGATGTGAGCAACACGGTCTTGCCTTGCGATACAAGTGCTCGAATAATGTGTGCAATTGTTGTCGTCTTGCCGGTACCAGGCATACCAAGAACCAAGGAATAGTCTTGTGTGCTCATTACTTTCTCAATTGCTCGCCTCTGGTCAACATTGAGATTTTCTCCGTCTGTAACTGTGTATTGTGTTGGGACTGTCTTGAACCGAGGGGGGGCGAGGTCAACAATTAAGCGCCGTATTTGAGTCGCTGAAGGCACGTCATTTGCCATCATTTGTACAAGATTATTCCTTACAGTCGCCATGCCATTGCTGAACTCATCTTGATCAAGTCGATATCGTACAGGCGGCTCCTTGATCTCGCATTGTACCTGGTCGGGGGACTTTCCTTGCGTCACATCCATGATACTGGAAAACACTTGATTATCAATTTCATCAAACCCAAGTTGACGAGTTCGGGCGTTGTGCAGCCTTCGATCGACCGCTACGCTTATCCGTTGCTTGCGAACTGAAGTAACGTATCCAATTGCCAATGCAAAATGGCCTTCTTCATCCGACACAACCACGGGCTCCCCGGTCGTCAACTCTGATTCCAGGAAAGAAAAGTTGGGTTGCTGGTTCCGTTTGATAAACGTGTAATGAAACCGGTTGATGCGTGGGTTGAGAGTGTCAACAGATGCGGATCCTTCTTCAATTATGACATCGGAAAAACATCTCGACTTTTTCTCGCGCTCGGTGCTCGTCATTGTCCATAGCTCTCGCTTCGTCTTCTGGCTTTCCTTTTCTTCCATTGTGAGAAGATTTTCCCATTTCACAAAAAAATCTTGATGAGTTGGTGTTAGATGTCTGACAAGCTCGTCAAACTTCTCATGCATGCCACTAGATTCGCCATCGCCGTTATCGGCGAGGCGATGGTAAGTAAAACACGAAGTTTTGGCGTAACACTTCCCGCACATATGTTTACTCTTCAGCATCGGCGGCAGCTGTACACTCCGCTCTCTGATGTAACACGCCAGTTGATTTCTTTGGAGAATCATGTGTCGCAGCTCATGTTGAATTGCAGGAATGCGCATAGTTTTCGACGTTTCCATGTAATAAAGAATACCATAGGCAATATCGATATCATAGCGGTCGGATAATAGGAGAGTATAAAGTGCAGTTTGGGCCATATGATTGCTGTTGGCATGCTTGCCAGTTTTGACCTCGAACGGCACTGTTAGGGTTCTTGTTCGTTTCCCATCCGACATAGCGACTTCAACAGTGGCATCTACGTTGCCTTTTAGTCCGTACATAGGCGACCAGACATGCTCTTCGACATCGAGTAGCTTTGTGATCGCCATATTTGCTTTCTTCCCATTCCGATCTTCCACAACCGCATCATCCTGTACCAGATTATCAGCATATCACTGAAACATGTAATGATACCAGCACGTATTTGAACCATACCTGTGGTTTTGGCGCGACAAAGGCCTTTGCCCAGCAACTCAACTCGGTCATTTTTGATAAGAGATGCTCTTTGGCGCTTGGTAACCCAACTTTAATCGTGTACAAGTCTTCCACGTGATTTTCGGTGATTTTGTCGATTATGCTGCTAAGGAACGGCAAATCCCACTGGTTTGCCATCAGAGCCTCCTGAAATATCTCATGAAGCATTGTGCCATAGACAAGAGGGGGAGAAGCCTCGCTGGTAGCCTTAACACGATCTTGCAGCACTGCTCGACGCATGCAGCCGAAAGAGTCCGCAACAACGGTGGATGAAACAAGTTGATCTGGGTGAAGTATCAAAAGGTTTTGTGCATCGTCGACGATGCACTGGCCGCGGGCCGAAAAAGAGCCAATAACGTGAACGTAAGAATTGGTGTTTGCAGGTGTGTCGAACCAAGCACCCCGAAGATGTACCGTCCTAGTGACCTTCGAATTATCGGCTTGAATAATCAGAATCTGACTTGATATCAGCTAAAATCGTCGTTTGAAGAGCGGAGGTCCACAAGCCTTTTCTGGTCTAGTCACGCGATATTTATCAACGAAATCACCGTCTAGAACACTTGTCACTAAATATCGCTGAATTGTTTTTGCCTTTTGTTGTCTCTACCTTGATTTAGTAAATGGAGCACTGGGGTGGTTTCGCAATACTTTGACGTACACTTTCGGACGGCGCCTCTAGGTGTTGTACCGATTGAGTCGCGGCCAGTTCCACGGCATCGAAGTCGATATCACCATCTAGGTCGTTACCAAACTCATCACCAGGGCTCTCTTCAAGTTTCGCAGCCGGGAGGTTCTTTGACTGTCTCTTGGGCGTTGAAATGCCAAGTGCAGTTTGTCGTGATTGCACAATGTTGTCACAAAAAACACTATCATCATCATCCATGTCATTGAGTTCCTCGACCAAGTCTATGAAACTTCGGCTTTGCCCGTCAGGGTTTCGTCGACCCGGCTGGCCTTGATCGATGCTGTCCGGTAGTGGGGTGTTAGTTGTGCCCGTTGCTTGCATACTCGCTTCCAGTTCCATGAAAACATCGTCGTCAAAATCATCACCATAGTCGGAAGATGAAGATGACGGCTGAATTGCTTTCTCCGCGCGTCGCGGCGTCTCCATTCCTGTCGGCGACAGCTTTCTCTTCTTTGGTGACGGCGATCTCATGAGCTGCTCCTGAGCCCGACTGGGACCTGGTTCGTTAATAGTGCTCGTGACGGTGTCTAATAATGCTGTGACCAGAGACGATTTCGATGCTGCTTCCATCTCCCGCTGTTGACTACTGCTTTGACTTCCGGCTTTAGATCTCTCTACTTTCCTTCTCTTTGGCCAATTCAAACCACAGCTTATTGCTCTCCGTAAGTTGGGGTCGCCTCGACGAGCAGACATGTCCTTCGATGGTTTTGGTGATGATGAAACCATGAGCTGTGCCAGAGAAGGATTCATGGCGCCGTTAGGCGTAGTTATGTCTTCCGATCCATTCAGCGAATATCGATCCCAGAGTTCCACGGTTGGATCGACGTGGGGTGATCGAAGAGCCGTTCTCAACTTGTCGACATTGACTGCTGGCAAATTCCCCTTGTCCGTAGCCGGCGATGATATAGGCGAGGAGCTTCGAGCACGTTTTCTGCCCTTCCGGGGCATCATCGGCGACAAAGCTGCTGCATACAGCGTGTCTTGCTGGTTATTCCACAGCAGTTTGTCGTTTGGGGAAGAAATATCGACCTCATTCTCCGCTGGAGCTGCATTCGGTTCAAGCAGGTCCCTCCAGTTCAACCGAGTCACCGGCGTGACAGCGTTTCCCACCACGCCAGCTCCTGCAGCTGTGGCATCCTGGGCCCTGGTGGGTGTACCATTGGCCTCACCCAGAGCAGAAGCTACACACTCATCTTCGGCAGGTTTATATTGGAACCTGCTAAGCTTTTTTTTTGTAACATCGGAAACCGGCGGTAAAGGTCTTGGTCTTTGTGCCTGTAAATTGGCAGGATGGCTGTGTGATCGTTGCCACGGGCTGCGGTTCTACTCTCAAGTCAATCAACGCGAAGTTCGGCCAGTAAAACGCTGCAAAGCTGGTTAACAGGTAGGTGTCTCTTACCCTTGACAAGCCTACGCGCTCAGAGTATGACTTCTGAAGCGGCATCTTTGGCAATAACATTCACAATGCTAGATCATTAGATGCCTTTGCCTTTGGAGAGCTGACCAAGACGGATTGGCCATGTGGGGATGTAATTCGGCACAAACAAACTTGGCCCTCCCAGCCAAGGGATGACAATAGTAGATCGATGACCATGTGGAAGACGCGTCCTGCACTTTCCGACCGCGTCCGGCCCCGCCAAGCAACGCGACCCCTGCCGAGCCCACACGGCGACCGATACAGTGGTCCCCTCATCACGTGCTGTTCCAATCTTATCGATAAAGCTCGCCCCAGATACAGCCGCTTCTCGTGCGTCATTGTCGAACCGTCCTTTATCTGCTCAATCATACATGTCCGCCCAGGTTTTCCTTGTTTGGCAATAGACAAAGACTCTCACCGATTCTCTCATCTCTTCATCATGGAGAGGCCAAACGACGGGGAAGCTCATCCGCAGCGCATGACGCGGGCAGAGTATACCCGCAATGTCCGCGCTGCCATCGAGGAACGACGACATAAAGCCATGATCAATCGGCAACATTATCAGCCTCAGATTCACGAGCAAATCCAGAGACTCTTCTCAGATTACGAGGCTCCATTCTACGCTAGAATGCGCGGCTTCGGCCGCACGCAAACCCTTGCGCTAGCCGAGTCTACCGTCTTGGGGTTGGCAGCCGGCACCGACAGGAACCTAAGTGATACTGAGACGCAAGCATTGACGGAGCATTTCCTCTCCAGCGTCCACAACATGCTGGCATGGAAATGGGCTATGACCGGTCTAGCAGGATACATGACCTACCGCGGGCGGCAGACCATGCGGTTCCCCTTCTTCAAGCCCGTCATTGCAGGCGGACGATTCACCCCCGCCACCGGCGGTCCTCAAGTCCGCATCATGTGGCACACTGCCCGGTTTGCAGCATACTACGGCGCATTCTGGCTCATCGGAGAGCCGATTCTCCAGGGGGCCAATTTCCTACGCCAGAGCTATTCCATGGACAAGGACCCAAGACTTGCCTCGCTGCTACGAGACGGAAAGAAACAGACTGGCGAGGTCCTCGGCGCCGTTCAGGACTCAAACAGCCCGCAATACGGGGATGCTTGGAGGCCTGAATCACAACAAGAATACTCATCACAAATCAGCGATGGCTACCAGCGACCTTCTCAGCCGACACAAGCACAAGAACAACAAACATGGACCTCGCATCGCCGCCCCGAACCAGCGCAGCAGTCTTCAGGGGCTTGGGATGCAACAGACGACATTGACGATGCATCCCCCATAGCACCGTCATCCAGATCACAGGCTGAAGGGGCGCAATACTACGGCGGCTCCGCATGGGATCGTGTACGACAGCAAGCCCAGTACTCTCCTCGACAGACCCGACGGGACCAAAAGTCATGGGAGGCGCCGCAAGGCACCAACAACGGGTGGGGCAGTGATGCTGATGTCAGTCCACAGTATCGTGGCCCCAGGGATGACTACTCGTACTCCAGCACAGACGAGGAAAAGTCAACAGCGAAGATGCAGGCACAGAGAGAATTTGACGCGTTGCTGGAAAGGGAGCGGAGAGGTGCTGATCAAGAACGTGGTTCATGGGGGAGGTAGGTAGGCTCGGGAAAATAAAACAAGTATAAATCCACAAAAGACGAGTATTTCATGCTGCAAATGCAATGTATTTTTAGAGTGTACATCAGGGACAAACCAGTATAAGACGCTCTTCGTGTGTACGTCGCACATCACACATGTCACATCTGAGACCAATTTTAGTATAACTACAAGCACGAAATCATGAGAGGATATCTTGAGGTAACAAATTGAAAAATATCTCATTTATCCTGATAGCTAAATAATGCAGAACCCCCAACGTACGTATCCTGTATTCAACATTGTATGTAACCCCTTAAGACTTAACATCCTCTTGGACTTCTATGGGCTCAACCTCAGCTTGGTCATTCTTTATCGTGGCTTCAAGAATGCCCTCGCCAGCGGTATTCGACGCCAGAGTAATGTCCTTCTTTCTTTCGTCTTTTGTATGTTTTTCTACATTCTTTTCTATATCCGGTTCTCCCGCAGATTCGTCATCCAGTAGCTTTAACTTCTCGGCTTTGGACATAGGTTCTGAATCAGCAACTTCCTTTACAGACTCCAGTTGCTCAGGGGTTCCCTTCGTCTCCTCTGGTTCCACAGCAAACGCCTGGGCTGGCTTCAGAGCAGGTGACAGCTCCTCGGGCTTTGTGTCCTCCTTGGCAGGACTATCGTCCTTGCTGCTAAACAAGAAGTCACCATGCTCGGGATCGATAGACCACACTGTCTGTGTTATAGAGAATGAGAGCACAGGAGCAGCGGGCTTTGCTTCTGATGACGTTGCTGCGGCCGGGCTCTTGGCAGGCGCGCGACGCTGAGGGCCGCGGGCACGTCCCTTTCGTGCATCTGACAAAGGCATCTTTTCCTTGTCGTCGACTGCTTCCTCTTCCTTAGGAGGATCCTCCTTCTTAACACCCTGGGGCCCCAGCTGGAGTCGTTTGTTTAGATCACTCATGAACCCTGCCTGGAGGGCCGCAATTTTGCCGCCGACAGGACGATTGGGGACCGGTGGCTTGGCCTTTGACGAAATACCATCCTTGGACTCCCCGGGTGAGCTCTTAGCTGGTCGAGGAGGAATAGAAGGCTTAGGCTTATCCGCAATAGGGGGCCGGGCTTTGACAGCATCATCTCCGCTGTTCTGCCTTCCCTTGGGTCGATCAGGGACTGCAGGGCGCTCAGGTGTTATTTCGGCCTTCTTGACTGCTTTGGCTGGGATTTCTGGCTTGGTCTGTTCAACTGGAGAAGCAGAAACCTCCGCTTCGTGAATGTGACTATCGGGGGCATCTTCCCAAATGTCTCTGCTAGGAAAACGTCTGCTCGAGCCAGAGCTTGGACGCACCTCGGTCTGCAAGTGAGGCTGATGGGAAACCCAGCTCGGCCTCGAGTCTTGCAAGGGCAAGAACGTGTTTCCACGCTTATTGGCTTCCTTCTCTGCCAATTCTTCTTGGTACAGAGCGAAAGCTTGCGCTGGCGTGATGGGCCGATCACCAAGGTGCGCAGATGAGCGTCGTCTCTCTGGTTCGGCCACGTCAGGCGTTGAAACTTCAGCAGTGTAGTGCACACTATTCGGCGCATCTTCCCAGACATCCTTGCTTGGAAAGTGTCGGCGATCACAGTTCTCATCAGCCAGCTCCTCCTTTTGGGCCGGCTTCGCTTCCTTGCTATCTTCTGGAAAGAGAGGATCGTACTCTTCTACATCTTCTAAGGGAGTGTGTTTGACCTCCTGTTGCTGGGATTGATAGCGTTGCACCCGAGGGCGGCTTGCAGGACGGCTTGGGGGGTCCTCTCCATCAAAGGAGCTACCACGGTGTTCCAGATGAGGGCGGATGGCAGGTTGGTGCACATGAGGGCTGGGGTCCTTCTTCAGCTCATCCGAAGCAAGGATAGGAGCGGTGTACTCTTCAGGTTCTTCATCCACCTTGCCCTCTCCATAGGAATAAAACTCAGGATTCTTGCTGTCATCTACATGGATAGCATTGTCCTCTTCGGTTGCTGCATGCTGGGAAGAAATGGGATCACTACCGTCTCCAAAAACTGCAGAGGCGGGTCGAGATGATGAGATGCGAGATGCATACTTCTCACTGGCCTCAAAAGCAACATCATCGGTGGGAGTGCCACGAAGCTCAGCGGAGGCTATTAGACGCGTTAGTGAGTGATTTTAGTTTCTTCATGCAGAGCAATGCACATACCAGTTCTCGCGTGATGATTGGCCGTATCTCTCACGAGTTTGTTCAAATCAGAACTGCTCATTGCAAAATCGTTATGGCGTTCGTGTCGAGGGGTGTGCTGCTCTCGCTCAAGGGCCTCAGGATGCTTCTGAAAATACGCCTTTTCAAGCTTGTCTTGTGGCACAACACCATGGCCGTGGAGACCGTAGCTACCAGGGGGCAAACCACGACCGCTTGACTTTCGGCTATGGTTCTTCTTGGCGTTTTCGGGGCCTGGAGAAGGTGCTTGAACATCTCCAAGGTGCTTGTTCATAGGAACACGTTGGCCAATTTCAGGAATTCCATGGTCATCGTCTGTGTGGTTGCCTAGGTCGCTGTACGCCGAGATACTACTTTCAGGACGCTTTCTCGTGGATGCACGAGAAACAGCCCGATCTTCGCCGTTGCTAGGCTGGCCAATTCCAAAAGAAGCAGCCTTGTCTGAGTCGGTACGTGTAACAGCCATGACCTGCTGCTTGGCGCTTTGAGCAGGAAGAGACGGCTTGGGCGCATGAAGATGCAAGTCCTCGGCGACAGATCGAGTCTGTTCAGGAGAAGAGGGTCGCCTTTCCTCCTCCTCCAACTCAGCAGCTACAGCACTATACTCCATTCCCTCCTCGCCGACTGAGGGCATGTCGACACTGCTAGCCCGTTCAATGGGGTCTTCGGCCTGCTCTTTCTGCGCATAATGCTTGCTCAATCGATTGTTAATGGGCTCGGAGGGGATGCCCGCTGTGAGCGGAGACTGTGCGAAGCGATCGCGGCCCGGTGAGATGGATCGATCGAGGCGCTTGTTGATGGGACGAGGCGGCACTTGCGGCATGAGGTGAGCAGGAGCTTCTTTAGCCGAAGACCTAGTTGGTCGAGGAGGTACAGCCGGCGTCTGCGCCATTGGTGCTGCTGACATTCTCCGTCGTGCGGGCGACAAAGGACAATGTGCCGAGGCGTATAGGTAGAAAACAGGCTTGCCGATGGACAATCGAAAAGGGCCAATGAGGTGTAGATGAAGAAATAAATTGACAGACTGCAAAATCTATAAAGAATACATGCCTGTCGACAAAGGACAGATTAGTGATTTGAATCAGGGTTTGCGGTCAGGACTATCAGTTAGGCGGTCGACGGGTGACTGATAAAAGCACCCCGACTCCATTGTGACGCAAGATAAGCAAAACCCGCCAGGTACCGGAGGCGCCGCCCCAACAAAGAATGCCGAAGCTCACACTCTGGCCATTGACTTTAAGATAGATACATAGAAGCTGATACGGGTCATGCTATCCAGAGCCGGGCAGAGAGCCAACGACAGACCGGCCGCGATTTCACGCAACATACAGAGGGCGAAGAAGCGGTGATGTAATGCAAGGTCTGCCAGCTCTCTGCCCAATGACGAGCGACATGTTTGTGATCACTGATGAAGGTACGTGTTGGGCCAGGGACGATGACTTACTCTGTATAAGCTCTGCAACAGATGCTTAAGATTGGTATGAAATACCGGACAACGGTCGTCACTACAACATGCAGACGTTTTGTCACGAAGAAAGCTTTTGAATTGAGTCACAGAGGAAGCGGGAAAAGGGAGTTGAAGTCGCAAGACGAATTTAGCCCGAAGGCGTTGAGACTCGGCGGCTGTGACGATTGATTGTACTAGACCTGTGCTGGGCTTTGTCGTCACCAGACCAGGAGCGATCCACTTACCGTGCCAAATATGCGCCCCTGCACGGTGCGTTGAGGGAGGGACCTGCGTCCAGACCAACCAGACCTTCCGGTCGTTGCATCACGCCCCGCCCCAAGATGCGGGAGGCTTGTCTGAGCACTTGGAGTGTTCCGACTGCTCTGAATCAGCGCTTCAGCATGACTTACGCATGGGTCAGACTATTTTTGTGACGCTTCGCGTTCGGCTTGTTACTGTTCGCGGTGCTTCATGGCAGCCGACTCGAAAAATGAAGAGCTAATACATCACGCTTGCAGGCTTAACTTTAGAAGAATTCAATGTTGAAGAATCGACCCCTGGCAACGGACATGGAGTGTACAGTGCGCCCTCTCCACACCCGATCTCCACCCCAAATCCACAGGTGCACCTTCGCAGCAGGGCCAGTGCTGTGGCTGCAAGCGGTCGGTCGCTCTGTCGACCAAACAGCCCGAGGACAAGTCTGATGACCATCAGGATTTTAACTGGGCTAGGACGTGCATTACACTTGACGGGCTAATAAAGACTAATAAGAGTCAACTGGTGTCCGATCTGATTGAAGCACCCGCTGCATATTCGCCTCTTTCTACATGGGTATAAGCCTGCAGCTGCAACTGCAAACTATAAACATAGAAGACGTGCCTCTTAAAAAGAAAAGAATACGCTAACTAACTTACCCATCTAGGTACTCAGGCTCCAGACGTCCGCGGAGACATGTACGCGCCAATTCAACGTTTGGTTGGTTTTGTGAGCCCCTTCTTGCTTCAGCACTCCGTGCGCCGTGCAACGCAACTGTCAAGTGGCATCAGAGTCTCGTCGGCCCCATTCAGTGGGCAATGATAAGAGTCTACTCCGTACAAGGAACGCCATAGCGGACCAGCCCCTCCTTGCGCTTCCTTGCGCCTAACCAATATTTGCGCTCAACATCGGGGCAAGGGAGGCCATCACAGGCGAGGACGAGTCGACTTCGCTGCACCGTGTGGGTTCCTCCTCGCGCTGCGGGGTACTGCACTAACAGCCATCGTAATAAATGCATCACATCATCGCCCATGTTCCTTGATTTGGCGTCGAGTGCGCTTCCGCACGCGTTTTGGCCCCGAGTGTGCTACCAAGACTCCCAAGTCCCGTTTACACAATGCAATTGCTCTCGGATTTCCAGATGTACCCAAGTAGTTGGGGTCAATCTATTGGTTGGCATAAAGTCAGAGGTTAGAAAAACTAAGGATCGACAAAAGCCTTCACCTTTTCACATTTCAGGATGAATATGTTCCTCGGTACAGAGTAAAGAGAGACGGACACGCCGCCGACAGTTTAGTCGTCGGTGAACCAAACAAACCTTGGCTTCCGGCAATAAAGTGTTTCCAACAAAGCTTGAATCGACGTGACGGCGGCACTGGGTTATTACGTCAATGGTCTTTGGACGTTTCCTTGATCCTGCCGTATCAACAATTGGACGGCGGCCCGGCTTGAATCGGGAGGATCCACATGAGCTCTTCATTGTCCAGCTAATGTGAAGTTGGTACCTTTTGACCTTTGCAACTACTACCCACCCTAGTAAAGTCCTTGGCTGTCCAAAACCTTTCTTGCACCTTGATCATAATTTGCTTGCGTGCTGTCGTAAGCATTTGGGGCGGATTCTTAAGACATTCAGAGCTTAGCTAATGGCGATTCTCCTCTATCATTTCATGAAAAACAAAGGCTGTGCTACCTAGCTATATGACCTTTTGGGTAAAAAAACAAGTCGGCAGGGCTGCGAACTCGTTCGGCACCAGGGCATGGCTCATCAACAGCGTTCATAAAGAGGCCAATCGAGCTCGATTCAGCGGGCACAGAAACCGCCGACATTAAGCAAGCATAAATCGTCCCGGACGCCAAACAGTCCTGCTCGGTATCCAGCCCACCACATTCTGGGGTACCGGGCCAGGCATAATTCATATGATTAGGTCAATCCACCTCATCGTCCAAGCATCTCCTTCTTTGCATCTTCCCCAATTTCTCTCACACTTTCGTCGCCGAACACGACACACACATTTTTCGCCTGGTCGCCTAGCAGACAGACGCATCATCCCATAAAAGGAAGTCGAATATGGCAAATTTTAATTTGCTTTAGACAATCATTTGCGCAACACCGGCTCCACCGAGGGTCTTGCTTCCAACAAAGGCCTGGCCCTTGATGCCAGCAAGAAGATAACAGATACCAGTGAGCGTCAAGAAGACACCAGCAGCAATCAAGCTGCTGGGGCCACCAAGATTGCTCAGGAACTGGAGGAAAGCCATGATTCCATAAGCAGCTGCTCGCATGTAGTTTGTTGAAATTCTGCGAACAAAGTCATCGAACTTTCCGGAGGTAGGGCAGATTCGCAGAAGCAACGGGACTTCGATAAACAGGATCAGAAACGACGAGGCACTGCAGAATCAGAATCAGCGTGTGCCTTGTCGGCATGTGGGAGCGGTATCACTGTAATACAGCGCAGACTTACATGGCAATGGCAGCAAAGATAATTAAGACGACTTTAAAGGTAAAGATTGTCGAGATGCCGGTAGCTAAGCAGATGATCATGGACAATATGCCGAGCCTGTTCCAATGTTGTTAGATTCGCTCGACCTGACCGTGGTGCCCTCGGCTATGCAAGCTTAGGCAGATGGTACGCTTCCCGCCTATCCTGTTGCTTCGGTTGGAGTGGCGGAAGGGGGACGGGGAGGCAATCAGACATCGAATGTTGATCGAGGCAGCATGGGGGATATGGACTTATGGGCTTACCATTGTCCGTAGATGCCTATGCCAATGTTAGCTGCTGCTTCGGTACCTGGCGACTGTGCCGGTTCGCGTCGAGGGACTTACTGAAGTTTCGGGTCTGGAACTCTTCCTTGAGCGACATGTTGAGAGTCGTCGCAGAAGTTGCTAACAAACTGTCTGTTTTGGTTTGTTTTGTGCGAGGAGCGCGCAGCGCAGCACAGCAGTGTCGAGTCGTAGTACGTGACTAGTCGCAAGAGGCGGTGTCAATCAGCTTTGCACTTTTGCACGCGTGAGGATCGTAGAGCTTGGTCAAGGGTGATAATGTGGCTGGGAGAAGATGATGATGCAGGAATGCTGGTGGTCGTTGAAGTGATGAATAAGACTTCAGGACCTTTGTCGGGGCGCACGTAGCCTCTTCTCCAACGGCGGGCCCGTCAAAGAGGCTGGCGCAGCAGTCAAATGTGGCAGCGTGGCAGCGTGCGGTGGTGGCTTGGCGACGACGAGGCAAGTCCCAACTGGCAAAGTGGCGCGTACTTACGCAGCACCTTACGAGTCTGGTGACAGACAGGGGCGAAACAGCACCTGGGAGATTCAGGGTGCTGTTCTGAGGTGGGATGGATCTGGTGGTCCCTGCAAGGAGAACTGCAGAGCTTGTGACGTGGAGGATCCGGCGCCTTGGATGAACAGGAGTCAACTGATCTGCAAGAAAAGGACCACAGAGAACCAAGGACTATCAAAAGCCTGAAACGTCTCTTGGTAGTTGTTATGAATGGCGCCGTGAAAGAGCAGTCGGAAGCAAACACGAGCCATTTATCCAAGGCTTGCCGAGGACCAGACTGGCTCTCTCGCTCGGTACACACAGCTTGACCTCTTGCCGGTGTGGTGTGACGTATAGAAGTTACGCCTGGCTGCATCGGGATGCGCTGGCTGCTGAGCCTCGTCAGCCCGCGATGACTCTGCGATACAGGCAGAGTACTCGAGGCATCCAGTAGGTACTTGCGTACCCCAGACAAACAGACAACAGGCAGCAACGAAAGAACAGCTTCCGCTGATAGTAACCGATCCGTCAAAGACCAAAGACCATGTGATGCGATTGCCGATAATCAAAATCTATCATAGGCCCCCAAATTTTAAAATTACTTGAACAATCGCTTGATTGACAAAGGTCAACCGTCAAGTTTGTTCACGACAGGCCGTTGGCTGCATTGTCCTCAAGCTGGCGCGACTGATAAGGTTAACCAAAGCCACATGTGCAGCAGCTTCGGAACATTGTACGTAAACTCGTCGGGGTGGGAAAGGCCGGTCACGATATGAATTAGACAGCATCACATCTTCTTCTGGGCATTTATCCATGCCAATAGCATGTCGGTTCCAAGTCTAGCATCTTATAGTCTTGCTACGGCCTTGATGTCTTGTCTTCCAACTTTTGCTCGGTCATTATCGGCACCGAATGTCGCCGCCAGTGCATTGG